AATAGAAGAAGCACTTTGGGGCTTGTGATGAACTGGTTGTTTTTGAGCATGGCTGAGCGTGCTGAAGCATAAGTTAACTGTTCTCTGCGTGCGTTCGGACTCTTTGCCAAATGTGGAGAGGGTTAGCTTGTGGTTAAACGTGGCCTTGTGTTCAGCGACGAAGTAAAGACTTTCCCTTGACAATTCGACCATAATGTCAAACAGGATCTCCATGAAGGCCCCGGAGAAGCACAGCGAAAATACAGGAAATACAGAAAATTCTTTTAACTGCTGGATTTGGAGAAGGTGATGGGATGTTTAAGCCCAAAGCAAATTAGGAATGCCCACTATATTTTTCTCTTCCCTAAGCACCAGGGCAAATACTTTTATCCCGAGGGTCTTTTTGCTTTAAAAAACCATCTTAGATATTGCTCTGCGCCTCTGATCTCGCAGTGCTGGCGTTCTTGGAAAGCTAAAACCTGTCACCTGTGCCAGGGTATATGGCTTTCCCCTGCTTTTCCATTGAAATATCCATTAGTTGTGCAGTTCCCTTAGATGCTCTGACTCTGTCCAAATTCTCCAGTTGCCTGTTCTCAAAAGCACCTGAGGACAAGACCGGAAATAACAGATGGAAGCTTCAAAAGAGACCCAACCTAGAACTAAAAAAATGTCCTTTTCAGTGAGAACACTTAGTCAGTGGAACAACTTGCCTCCAGAAGCCGTGGAAGTTTTGAAAGAAGAGATCGGACATCCATTCGTCCAAAATGGCCTAGGGCAACGGTCCCCAAACTTGGCAACTATAAGACTTGTGGACTTCAATTCCCAGAATTCCTGACCTAACACGACTGGAGGAGGGATTCTGGGAGTTGAAGTCCACAAGTCTTAAAGCTGTCAAGTTTGAAGACCCCTGGATTAGCCTGGGGGACTTCAATGTCAGCCATTTTAAGACTTGTGGACTTCAATTCCCAGAATTCCTGAGCTAACACGACTGGAGGAGGGATTCTGGGAGTTGAAGTCCACAAGTCTTAAAGTTGCCAGGTTTGAAGACCCCTGGGATAGGGTCTCTTGCTTGACCTGAAGGTTGGACTTGAAGATCCACCTCCAAGATCCCTTCCAACCCCGTTACTCTGTACTCTGCATCTTCTGCTTCTAACTCAGGGTTCTACAAACTTGGCCATTTCAAGATGTGAGGACTTCCAAGTCCCGGAATTCCTCAGCCGTCATGAATTCTGGGAGTTGGCCCACACATCTTAAAGACAAGGGTCTTCAAACTTGGCCACTTTTAAGACTTGTGGCCTTCAACTCCCAGAACTTGGCAACTATAAGACTTGTGGACTTCAACTCCCAGAATTCCTGAGCTAACACGACTGGAGGAGGGATTCTGGGAGTTGAAGTCCACAAGTCTGGAAGCTGTCAAGTTTGAAGACCCGTCTGAAGAAGTTGCCAACTTTTGGGGGGAAAAAAACACCGAGAATTGATTGGGAGCAGGCAGGAAAGGTTTTCATGGGTTGTGGCCCACGGATGGAGCTCAAGCGACCTCTTGGCCAGCTCCTCCTTGCTTCTTCAGCTGGTCTCCTTGGGTTCCTTCCAGCTCACTGCAGTGAGCTCAGTGACGGAAAGCCAACTGCCCGCGTTTGCTCAGCACCCCTCCTCTGGCCTGAGCGGAAAGGCGTGCATCGTGCCACTCGTGGGCGGCGTCGTTCGGAATTTAAGAAGCCTGGAGTGTGTGCCTGAGAACAAAACAGCCTCCCGCGGATATTTGGAACGGGCTCTGGGCCGGCTTGGTGGGCAGGGCGCCAGGGTTAGTGCACGGAGCAAATTCCAGGCCGTTGGGCTAAGCCTCGAAACTTTGAGGCCCGGAAGGGCCGCTCCTTGGAGAGGAGAGAAACAACCTAGAACTAAGGAGACATTTCCTCGCCGTCAGATACAATTAATCAGTGGAACGATTTGCCTCCAGAAGTTGTGAATGCTCCAACACTGGAAGTTTTTAAAGAAGAGATTAGAAAACAGTTTGTCTGAAATGGTATAGGGCTTCCTGCCTGAGCAGGGGGTTAGACTAGAGGACCTCCAAGGTGCCCTCCAGCTATTCTGTTCTCTTATCTTCTTTCCTATAATTCCCATTCCTATTCTCTTCTGTTCTCTAATTTTTATTCCTATTCTTCTATTCTACTTCTGCTCTTCTCTTCTCTTCTCTTCTCTTCTCTTCTCTTCTCTTCTCTTCT